ATTTTTGGTGGGTATATATATAATTGCTCTTCTTGTAGCTCTTAAAGAGTTAAGAAGAAAGCAAGCCTCGCGCCATCGTCGTCGTCGCTCGCTCGGCTACGGCTACGGCAATATCGGCTTCGGCTTCGGCTTCGGATTTGGATTTGGTCAAATGATTGATTGATTAATTTTTTGGACCAAATTTATTTGTTAATAGTAAATATTAACGTAAGATTATCCGCATTTGTAACGGATATTTTTCAATCCGTGTATTGACCATTTGGCAGCCGCCTAATGCTCTTCCCACCATGAAGTGCTTGCTCCACAAACATGTAATGCTTGCTCCACCATGGAGGGTGGACGTTTGGACATTTTGCTGCTATATATATGTGCAGCAGATGTTGAAAAAAGACACTCAACACACAACATACAATTCGCTCAACAAATTAGCTATACATTGCACTCCTTCCTCTCAGCATTTCCATACGATTTTCTGAGTTTATACTCCTTCGTTCTGCATTGTTTTTAACTTCAAACAAAGCAACTGTAAGTGTGATTTGCTACCGAACTTTGTGTTCGCTGAAACACTGGGGTTTGAAGTACCGCTACACCAGTGTGTTATTCGTTCTATCCTGGGAGGAAATAATCCATTACCTTGGGTACTAGGAGGGGATTAAATTCCTTAAGGAAACACTGTGAATTCAGTGGGCTCGAATTTATTATTGTTCATAACGTTAACTTATATTTTGCAGAATTATTATTTACAAATACAGCAATATTGGCGGGAATAACAGTTTGAACTCTGCAATCTGCATTTTCTGTTTGCAGGTATGAATTGTTTAAAGCTTTCAATCTTATATCTGGAAAAATTGACCCGACATACAAGCAATTCTCACAAAGAGCAATACACATCCTCTTGTTGGGACAGCATAATTTAACTTAGATAATGAAGATGAACCATTTTTACACGGTATTAAGTATACTGCTGTGCCCCCAACAAAGCGTTTCCTATCTCCTTTAATTAGGTCTATAATTGGTACGCAGTAATAACATTTAGTATGAACAGTGAAAGCCACACAACTCACACCAAAAGCAAAAGCTAACAAAAGATTAACCACATTAACAGTCACTTAAAAACAATCAAACAGAAGCTACTCCATTAATTGCAGGCTTCATTAGCTTCAGATAACCGTTGAGCCAAAACAGTAGCAGACTTTTCAGAAACCAAAGCTTGAATGAGCATAGTCTTTACTTCCCAAGCGCTATATGGATAGTTCTTTCTAGCATATGAATTCAACAATGCTGCAGTCGATTGCTTCACTAATCTTGCAAATATATTGTCTCTATCATCGTTTCTTCCCGCAGCTTCTAGGAGTGTAAGATCGTACCTGTATCGCTCGTATGCCCTCGATCCGAATACTTTTGATACTGTTGACATTTGCGGCACCATCTTCGGCCATGACTCTCTCCTGCTGCTCCAATACCTGCGCAACAGCAGCAAATTAGTAACAGCTTTATTAGTTGGTGGATTATTTTGGAAAAGATGCAGCTTTTTCATAGCCTTTACTACGGCTCCATGAAAAAATCCTCCAACCTCAAGTGAAACAGGGGTTTAACAAAGGGCAGCTCGATGCACTAAGCTTTCACTATACGCGGAGTCCGAGGAAGGGCAAGACTACAAGGGTCTATTGTACGCGACCTTACCTTGAATATTTCTGCAAGAGACTGTTTCCATGGCTCGAACCCGTGACCTCTCGGTCACATGGCAGCAACTTTACCAGTTACGCCAAATTTAGGAAAACTTACTTGTATCCAATGTTTAAACTTACTTGTACCCAATGTCTACATAGGCCCAACGGATACATGACACCCCAGGGGCGGAGCCGGAGTGTGGGATGCGGGTTCGGGCGGAATCTGGTACTTTTGTTCAAATCATATATTTGTCTTATGAAATCCATTGAATGAATATGTATAAACTATTAATAAGGGCTTCTCCAACGCCAACTGCATTTGCTATAATGCAGGTGATTTTCGGAGTAATTGGACTCCAACACTGCTGCATTTTTGGCTGCAAAATGGGGATGAATACAGTCACTCCAAATTTGGAGTGACGCTATTCATCTCCTCCATTACTATTCTCTATTACTTTATTTTTTTTATTATTTAACTCTTTTAATTTATCTCTTTATATATACCTAAATATGTTTATGTAATATCTTTATAATATTAATTTTACATCTTAACTTTGGCATATAATTTTGATAAATTGATTTTCGTGCATTTATTATTTTTATGTAAAATTGTAAGTTAATTTTCGTGCATTTTGATCTCGACCGTCGAGTGGATTTCATCCTAATCTCAATTGTCCGATGGATTTCATCCATATTCTTATTTTATCTTCAGAAAAAATTATCTCTACACATTATTCAATGTGTAGACAACTCAGCAGACACAATAATTTAGTAGATGAGAATATGATAGATTTTATTTTGATCTCAACCGTCGAGTGGATTTCGTCCTAATCTCAACTGTCCAATGGATTTCATCCGTATTCCTATTTTATCTTTAGAAAAAATATCTCTACACATTATTCAATGTGTAGACAACTCATCAGACACAATAATTTAGTATATGAGAAAATGATAGATTTTATTTTGATCTCAGCCGTCAAGTGGATTTCGTCCTAATCTCAATCGTCCGATGATTTCATCTTTATTCCTATTTTATCTTTAGAAAAAATATCTCTACACATTAGACAACTCAGCAGACACAATAATTTAGTAGATGAGAATAAGATGGATTTTATTTTGACCCCAGCCGTCACTCAACCGTCCGATGGATTTCATCCTTATTCTTATTTTATCTTTAGAAAAAAAAATCTCTACACACTATTCAATCTGTAGACACTCAGCAGACACAATAATTTAGTAGATGAGAATATGATAGATTTTATCTTTATCTCAGCCGACGAGTGGATTTCGTCTTAATCTCAACCGTCCGGTAGATTTCATTCTTATTCCTATTTTATCTTTAGAAAAAATTTCCACTCGATAAAAATGAACACCATTTAGGAAAATCATACTCTTTCATCCAATTCATTTCTAAATAAATTAAATATTATTGTTGTCGTCTTCTGAAAATTAATTTCTATAGGGGAGGTTCATCTAATAATAATGATGATTCAAATTACTCATCATCATCATCATCACCTTTAATTTCCGATAATGAAGCTGGGATACAATTGTGCATGGGGATTTTATTTTGATCCCAGCCATCAAGTGGATTTCGTCATAATCTCAACCGTCTGATGGATTTCATCCTTATTCTTATTTTATCTTTAGAAAAGAAATCTCTGCACACTATTCAATGTGTAGACAACTCAGCAGACACAATAATTTAGTAAATGAGAATAGGATAGATTTTATCTTGATCTCAGCCGTGGAGTGGATTTCGTCCTAATCTCAACCGTCCGGTAGATTTCATCCTTATTCCTATTTTATCTTTAGAAAAAAATTTCACTTGATAAAAATGAACACCATTTAGGAAAATCATATTCTTCCATCCAATTCATTTCTAAATAAATTAAATATTATTGTTGTCGTCTTCTGAAAATGAATTTCTATCGGGGAGGTTCATCTAATAATAATGATGATTCAAATTACTCATCATCATCATCGTCACCTTTAATTTTTGATAATGAAGCTGAGATGCAATTGTGCATGCAAGTAAATTAGATGAACAATTATGTGTTGCAGTGTTTGGAAGAAAATCAAAATAATGATCCTACAGAGTTGGCTTCGTTCCAGGTCATTTGGTAATCAATCGAGATCGTGAAAGTGTTGATAATAATTTATTTCTCGATTATTTTTCAGATAATCCCCGCTTTAATGAGGGACAATTTCGTCGTAGATATCGGATGTCCCGGAATTTGTTCCTTCGAATTGTTGATGCAATTAAAGGTCATGATATGTACTTCGAACAACGCGTTGATGAGGTGGGTAGATTTGGATTATCTACTCTACAAAAAATTACAGTCGTGTTTAGAATGTTGGCATACGGTGTGCCAACAGGATGCCACTGACGAATATGTGAAAATTGAAGAGTCGACTGCATTTGAAAGTATGAAGAGATTTTGCCGAGCTATCGTAGAGGTTTTTGGCGAGCAGTAATTGAGATCACCAACAGCTAACGATGTTGGAAGGCAGAAGCACATCGGTGAACAGCGTGGTTTTCCAGGAATGTTAGGCAGTCTAGACTACATGCATTGGAGATGGAAAAATTGTCCAACAGCATGGGCTGGACAATATGCAGATCGTAGTGGATCCCATCAATAATTTGTGAAGTTGTAGCTGATTATAACCTTTGGATATGGCATGCATATTTTGGTATGCCCGACACCAATAATGACATTAATTTTTAGAGTCATCACATTTGTTTTTCGATCTTGCTGCAGGTATTGCTCCTCCCGCCCATTATGTTATTCAAGGAAAAGAATATGATATGGATTATTATTTAGCTGACGATATATATCCAAAATGGTCAACCCTTGTGCAAACTATTCGTGACCCACGTTCGCCACAAAAGGAATATTTTGCGAGGAAACATGAATCATGTCGAAAAGATGTTGAACGTGCATTCGGAGTTTTGCAAGCTCGTTTTGCAATTGTTGTGGAACCATCACGTTTTTGGAGAAAAGAAGTGCTACATGATATAATAACTACATGTATTATACTGCACAATATGATAATCGAGGATGAGCGTAATCTTAATGCACCAATTCAAGATGATTGGAAATGTCCACCTTCGACAGTAGAAATGGTAGTAGATGAAAATCACTGATTTGAATAATTTTTAGCTCGACACAAAAGAATTAAGGACAAAGATACTCATTTTGCACTTCGTAATGCATTAATAGATCATTTATGAGAGCATACTAGAGGTGGAAGTTGAATATTTATATAGTATTTAATCTGAATTTTACCATAATATAATATGTATTTAATTATCTTGTATCTTAATGATTTCACTTTTATTTGAATTATCCGTTAATATATATATAATCTATAATATTTCTTTACAAATTATATTATTTAAAAATTTATGGTATAAAATAATTTTATATTAAATGGTTATATAAAAAAGAAATATAAATTATATGTAAAAAAGAAAAAATTTCTTTAATAGAAATAAGAAAATAAAATTTAAATAAAATATAATAATATAATATTGAAGAGAGAGAAGAAAATAAAATAAAATATTCTTTTTTGATGTAAAAAATGGAGTGATTGTTGAAGTAACTTTACTCCATTTTGGTGGAGAAAATGGAAGCAATGGTTGAAGATGGCCTAAAGAATGCACTAACTTAAAAGAATTACAATCCCACATGTAAGGTTAAAATTTTGGCTCTGCCTTTCACTACAAAAAAATAGTCTATTTGCGGAGGTTTTATTACAGGGTTATTATTAACCTCCCCAAATTGTATCTAACTAAGGGGGTCTTATTAACCTTTGCACTAAAATTCAATTTGCGGTGTTTAGAATTTCCGCTAGCCTTAAAAAAAAAAGGCGCTAACAATAGAATATTTCCTTTATTTTTATCTACTCACCTAGACTCTTATTAGTAAACCATAAATAGCTAATACTGCACTACTCTCACTTTAAATTATGCCTTATCATGGTACATTTGTATAATTCGGGATAAACACCGGCAGGGGCGAAGCCACAGTGTAGCAAGGCTTCGTCGGAAAATGCCGGAAAATTAACACTGTGTATATAGGTAAAATTTTGGATTTACATACATATAATACATATTGAACACCCTTAAAACAATAAAGAATCATAGCTCAGTGGCAAAGGGTGGTCAAGAGGGCCTCATGGTCGCGGGTTCGAGCTTCACTCTCCACAATTTTTATTTTTCTTGTTCAAGTTTGAACACCCTTGAAATATTTTCTAGCTTCGCCACTCAACACGGGATATAGGTAAGTTTTACCAAGAGCTTATATATATACACAATAGGATAAAATTGTTGTCAGCCTAACTAACAACAATCACGCCTCAATTTTCTACTAATTGAGGTCGACCAAGAATTTTGTCACTCCATTTTAAGCTCATTTAGTCTAATAATTAGATAGGATAAATTTAACTCACCCACCCCACTAGGTAAGCGTAAGGTCTACGTCCGCACTATACTCCCTGACCCCACACTCGTGGGAATATAATGGGCTTGTTGTTCCAAAATCCCAACTGAGATTTTTTTTTTTTTTTTGGAAAATAAAAGAGAGAAAATTAGTAGAAAGTGAAGAGAAGAGTCTTACTGAGGAGTGCATCTCCCTCTGTTTCTGGTGTATACAAATCCAGGTCTGAACTGTTGAGCAGATACAGTCAAATCTCCCAAGTAGCAATAGTAAGTGACTAATAGCAGTGAAAGAGCCAACCGATTTCTGAACATAAGAAAATTAGCCATTTTCTTTTCAGCAAATTTTACCTGAAACTAATTATAAGCACCTACTTGTGTACAATGGTTGGATCTGAAAAACTCATTTCCTTCTTGGTCATCCTCGAAACTGCTGCAAATTTTGAAATTATATCTTCTTTATTGAAACTATCGCTTTCACTATTGTCAGTTTG